GTGTATAATCATAAGTTCTAATTATTGAATGTGTTTCTTTGTTAGTTTATCATCATGAACTGAAACTAAGTCATTCGTAATAAATATTATGCATTCATTTTAGAACAAGTATGATAAACTATAAAAAGTATAGTTTAATAAATTCATAACACTAATACATTTCCATAAAAGAGTTCATACATATTACATACATTTTAGATAAACTATAATAGGTATAGTTTATGATACATCACTCAACACACTCGTACAGAAAGGGTACATTCATACAGAAAAGATTTATATTCACACACATTTCACGTAAACTTGTTAACCTATATTGTGAGACTCTCTCTCTCTCTCTCTCTCTCTCTCTCTCTCGTACGTCCGAGTGCGGGATATAATTCCTGGTAGTTATAATCAGAATCTCCTTGAGGGAGAACGTGATACTTGTATATAGATCTATATTGGGTTTGACACCCCACACCTTGCTGCTAGCTACAGTGGGACCTGCAGGTCTACGGGTGACAAATGTCATTTCAGTTTTCGCGACGCCTGAGAAACGTCGTGGCAGGTTCACATAGTCATAGTATGATTATAGCGACTCACATAGGGATATAACAATCCATAAGTTTACGGGATTTTATTTTAAAACCTAAATGAGTTTTATGTCGATTTAAAATCACTTTTTATCTCAATGAGTACAGATATTACTGTACACTTTTGGTTTTGGTAGTTACGACTACACATCATTTGAAACCACATTTATACCTTTAAGTATGGTCAATACTTGTTATTTCTCGGTCCTCGAATTTAGGACTACATATATATAAAGTATTAACAAACATGAGAACATACAGAAATTTCATTTAATTCAAACGCATCCATGTCCATTTAAGTACATAACATTTTCTATTAATAAGAAAGGTTACTTATACATTTTGGTCTTCAGTCATAAGACTACATTACACAGATTTTAAAGAAAATATTGGATCTTCTAGATACATATTCTAACGCTTTTACAAGGAAAACGATTTACTTTTCTAACGAAATCTCTTATGAACTCACAAACCTTTGTGTTGACACTTTTCAAAACTACTTGTATTCTCAGGAATTCAGTGAAAACAGGAAATCAACAACGTTTTGAGGATGGGACGATAAATCGTCAAACAGTTCATTTTGTATCATAATGTAATTGATGTGAATCATGTAAACATGTGCTTTGATGTAACGTTTTCAATTATATTTGTGATAGTTGTACTTACTTTGAGCACTATTATACTCATTGTTGTGATACTCTACATGAAGTCCTCCACCCCCGGACGTTTCCGCCATCCTTGGTTTGAGGGTGTGACATATATTATTATAACATTGTATTTTAATTGAGTTGTGTAGTGAAATGTTTTATAAATTATAATGTAGAATATAGTTTCATTTACAAAAGAAATTTGACACTCTTGACAAATAAAATTAACATCTTTCAATTTCATAATATATGATAAAAGAAGTTAAATAGAGGATAAATAAATAAAAAAAAAAATTGGTGAGTTGAAAGCATAGATAACAATATAAAATATTGTTTAATCTTTAATGATTAGGTGGTATAAAGTTTGAAAATAAGCATATGATCTTATAAAACAACATCAAGGATATATTCAATATAAAGGAGATATTGTTAGATTAACAATGCAAATGGTTTTCATTTTGATTATATTCCCAATACTCTCGCTATGGTAAATTTAAATGGAAAAATGCTTTATATTATTTTATTGTAGCAAAAATATAAGGAAATTTATCAATAAAAATGCTTATTCGTACAACATACTCAATTGTAATTTAAAATTTATTTATGTTTCTATATTTACCTATGGATAAAAGATTTTGATTTGTCTTCATGCACTAGTATCATTTAGGTTAAACTCTAAAAAAAGAGTAGGACACTGTTCAAAAGAAAAAGTGTGACAACAACTTTATGAAAAAAAAAAAAAAGGAGAAAAGACATCATTCCTAATTTTCATTTTTTACAACATTGGCTAGAAGCTCAAGATGGAAATATTGAGACTATAAACTCAAAAGAAATCAACAGAGAGATGATAATTTATGTAACACCATCGTTTTTAAAGCTGAATTTAAAAATAATGATACTGAAAACTCTAAAAGCAATCAAAAAACTATTAAAAATGCATAATATATGGAAGTAACCCCTTTATTGAGTCTTATTCATTGTTCATTTATCGTTTCTTCCGCAGAATCCTCTTCATTGCCACTATCACCCCATCTACTTCATTTCTCTTCAACATACATCCTGAACAACTTTCATATCTTATTAGTAACTTACAAATTCTATAATTTCTTTTGCACTATCTTATTTGAGTTATGATTTATTCATATTTTGTACTTTTTTTATATCAATGCTTTAAATTAGATTATCATAGCTATATATATTAGATGCAATATAATAATCATCTGAGATTTATTTTGTTGTTCTAGAATGATTTATATGGTGATACCCTAGAATATTAATACATATGGAAATACCATTAAAACTCTAAGGATTATATGTTGGAGTAATTATTAGTAAATATATTTATTGTTCATATCTTTTTTTCATTCAAGGTGTTAAATGCATACACGATAAAAGTTGTTCTTTTTTTATTATACATTATAAATTATGGATGTTTTTGTTTTTCTTTTTTATTATTATGGTATGTTAAGATATTCACGAATATATAAAAAAATAACTATTTATGATGGTAACTTTATTTTTGCGTTAGTTTTTTTGGTGCAAGTGAAATAACATATTTGAAAGTATAATCAATCAAAGTATTTAAACAACATGTAAGTTTTTACATACTAATATAATATGGATCAATTTTGTAGATGATGAGTTCACCTTTTTGTGTTGAAGATTTTGCATCACTTCAAAGTTGTTTTATGTCGTGGGATTTGACAACTGTGAGGGTTGACTTTGTTTGGAAAGACATCAAGAGGAACAGACTATTTATTATCCTTTTTGATAAAAAAGTAAGTTGTAATTATAACTTAATTATAAAAACATGTATATTAGTATGTTTAAAATTATTATTTATTATTTATTTAACTATTATATTATATATCAGAGACACAAAATAGCTGCTATTATCCCGCCAAACCTTATCCAGTTATATGGGAACAAGAATATGATTGGACAAGTTTTTTCTTTGGGTCATTTCCAAGTTGAAAAAATCATAGAAGATTATCCCAAATTTGAAAATTATAGCTTTGTCCATATAGATTTGGAGATAATTATCGACAACAAGACAAAGTTTAATCGCTTGCCAACCGATATTGAAAATGGGTTTGCACTTTATCCGTTGGTGGCTACTATTAAAACTTTATATGAAGATATGACATATCGGAAAATGATGATCGGTATATCTATCTATTTATCATGTGTGTGTGTGTATATATATATATATAATTTAATATTTGAAGTAGTTACACATAATAAATTTAAATCTTTCTATTTTTAGATGTGGTTGGAAAAATTATCATGGGCAGAATACAATATGTACATGTTAACAGATGGGTCCGATTTCGTTCGTATAATATATCTTCAGGATGGGACGTAAGTGTGAATATGTTGTATATATGTAAGATATATTAAAATATAACAATTTTAAATAACTTTTAAGTATATTTGGTTATAAAAAGGGGGCATATAATAAATATGAAGTTGCATGAAACACTGCGAACAAATGTTGTAAGGACCTTTTGTGCGATAAAGAAAAAATCCATAATCTATGCCTCTCGAGTAAAATTGGTTCATCTAAATTCAAGTAAGTTATTATTATTTTTTAAGAATATTTTATGCTTGCCAAAAAAAAAAATATTAAACTCATTAATTCAATATGTGTTATTAATTACATATTATTTTATTTTCAGTGAACATTTTGATTTCAACTGAATTAACAGACATTGAGTTCGAACCGGAAATGCTAGAAGCGGATAACATTAGGATTATGCATCGTCACATCTTTAATTTTTTGTGAGACGTTTTGTGGTGAATGTTATATTTATAGAAAAGTTTTTATATTAAGGTCATAAGGTGTAGTCCAATTTATCAATGTGAGCGTTTTTGTGGTAGACGTTTTAAATATGTATTAGTTTTTAAGTATGTTGTGCTCAACTTGATTTAGTGAGACTTTGTGGTGTGTAATGTTTCATTAAGTTTTTAAGTTTATTGTACTCAACTTGATTTATTAATGTCATATTTGTGATTATTTTGGTTGTATCTAATGTTGATTTTAAGAAAATAAAAATAAAAATAATAACAAAGTTTCTAAGTAATTTATTTGTAGCATCCCAACCAAAACTAAAGCACAATATAAACCAAAACCATATATGATCAGTTTGCGTGATGAAAAGTTAATCAATTAACTTTAAGTCCAAAACTATAATTAAATGTCAACAATAACTAAAAAGTTAATCAATTAACTTTAAGTCCAAAACTATAATTAAATGTCAACAATAACTACATATTGCTCCAAAAAAATACATGCTTGCGCCTACATCTATAATGACCAAAAAAAAAAAAAAAAAAAAAAAAAAAAAAAAAAAAACCAATGATGATAAATGGATTAAAGTCTAAGATGAAGTTTTATTTTAATTTAGTTTTTTGTAAGCATAAAAGTCACTGGCCTATCTCACTAGAACAATTTAGTATGATTAATAGTATTATTTATAATTCTTTTTAGGTTCAATGAGGACCGAAGATGAAACACGAAAGGAAACGGTACAATGTGGTATCATTCTTTAATCGATATATACATTAACTTTTTTAATTTTATGTTGGTTATTTTTCTAAAAACATAGGATATTGAATAAACGCATGATTCTAAAAACTAATTTTTTTCATATTCCGTCAAATAATATTTGTAGCAGAAAAACGAAAAAACTACAATAGAAAATATTATGCACGACAAAAGGAAAACAAACGGAGAAGAATAGCTAATGGTGAAGGAATTAGCCGATCTACGACAATTATGCCGAATGTTGTTGCAAATCAAATGAATATCAATGAAGGAACTACTAATGATGTTGTAAGAATTGAACAGATGAGGAAAATTCATAATAAAAAATATTATGAACGACGGAAGGAACTAAGCAGAAGACAAATTATGCGAGACCACATGCTCCAACAAGATCCATATACTTTTGTTTATGATGGTATGCATATGGAGCATAATGTATTAAAAGTCCAAAATGCATGTGTTCATTGCAGAGCAAAACGATTTCAATTTGAATTCCCCAGCTTTTGTTGCATGTCGGGAAATACAAAGTTGGCATTCTCTGATATTCACGAAGAATTACGAAATCTTTACACATCCAATTCTGAATTAAGCAAAATGTTCAGACACAACATACGTGCATACAACACCGATTTCTCATTCGCATCAATGGGTGTAGATATGGATAAAACAATGACCAATATGATATCTAGAGTATATACTTTTTATGCGCATGGAGCAATATATCACAGAATCGATCAATTAGTTCCAAAGAATGGAGACCCTAAGCACTTACAGTTGTATTTTTATGATGTTGACACTGAAATTTCGTATAGACTCCGAAAACAAAATCTAATAGAAGAGTCATTGAAATTTTGACCCGTGTTCTTGCTACTAATCCATACGTGAAAACATTTCGAAGACTTGTTGATCTAGGACCACTTGACAATTACAGAGTCACTTTGAATGCATCAGTAGAACTTGACCAAAAGGTCTACAACTGACCGACCACATCTGAGGTATCATAATAATTGTTGTCTACTAATTATAAAATAAATATATCATGTATGACATACAATTGTGCATATTACATATCATATTTAATCATATTGTTTATATGATAAAAATCTCAGGTCGCAGGTATTTGGGTTGAAGGTAATGACAACATAGCTGCATATAAACGAAGTATTATCGTGTATGGCAGATTAGACAAAGCACAAACAATTCAAGCTTAATGGGGATGTTATGATCCAGTGTATTATCCTTTGTTTTTTCCTAACGGTGAGTCTCGATGGCATTCTAATATTCTAAGACATGGATTTCCTATCAATAATATTAGCAATTACGACGAAGATATCGAGGGCGATTTAGAAGGTACACATATCATAACTTTCTAAAATTTAGTTAAACTCACAAACATACATTTTGTACATATCATTATTTTTTTTCACGAAATCAACATTGTGTAGACTCTAATACAAAAAGAGGGCGGAATACTGTAAGTATGCGAGAGTACTATTGTTATAAGTTTCAAATCCAGTCAAATTATAATGTAATTTTGTTAGGGCGGAGATTACTACAACAATTTGTAGTAGATATCTACATCAAGCTTGAGACTTCACTTTTGGAATTTTTGTAGAAAAAACAAGTCCAAAATAAGAGAAAATTTATACCAAGGTGTTGTGGACTGTGTTAATGCCGGTGAGGTTCGACCGACTATGATAGGGCAACATGTTGTGTTGCCAACAAGTTTCATCGGAGGCCCCTGTGACATGCGGCGATGATTTCTTAATGCCATGACTTTAGTTCAAGATGACGGTAAGCCTGATGTATTCCTTACTATGACATGCAATCCAAACTGGCAAGAAATAAAAGATGAGTTACTCACTTGACAGACGGCTCAAGATCGTCCGGACCTTGTGTCTAGAGTTTTTCATGCTGAGTTAGAGTATCTTAAGAAACAACTCTTCACAAAGCACATACTTGGCACGGTGGGTGCATACATTTATGTCATTGAGTTTCAAAAACGTGGTTTGCCACATGCACATTTCCTCATGATAATGAGACCTCCACACAAGCTTACTAATACAGACCATTACGACAAAATAGTTTGTGCTGAAATTCCAGACCCAAAAAAGTATCCTAAAATGCACGAATTAGTCATCTCACACATGATTCACAGTCCTTGCAGTACCTTAAACTCTGACTGTCCTTGTATGAAGAATGAGCAAAAAAAATGTTGTTTTAGATACCCTCGACAATTCAATGAAACAACATTACAAGGAAAGGACTCATATCTTGTGTACCAAAGGAGAGATAATGGTATAGAGGTGGACATACGAGGCAATAAGATGGATAACAGATGGGTGGTCACGTATAACCCAAAGTTGTTAATGATGTTTAACTGTCATATGAATGTTGAGTTCTGCTCGAGTATAACCTTTGTGAAATATGTGTTTAAGTATATTTACAAGGGTCATGACAAACAAGTTATCAATATTGATCTGGATGGACAACCTGTTGTAGTTAATGAGATAAAACGGTTTCAAGATGCATGATATGTCTCGCCTCCCGAGGCAATTTGGAGGATTTTTAGCTTCCCACTTTCTCAGACCCACCCTTTTGTGATGGCATTGCAAGTGCTTCTCCCAAATCAACAAATGGTTAGGTTCAGTGAGGATGATATGTTGACTAGCGTTGTTGAAAAAGAGAAAGATAAGAGATCAATGTTGACTGATTTTTTTCTAAAAAATAAAGAAGATAAAAATGCGAGACAACATAAATACAAAGATTTTCAAAAACAATTTACATGGGATCCGCGCTTACATCGTTGGAATTGTCAAAAACTAGGATTAATGCGATGTCGTTTGGTTTCTGCTAATCCTGCTGAAAGAGAGTGATACTACCTTCGCCTACTTTTATCACATATTAGTGGCCCAACATGTTTTGAAGATCTTTACACAGTCAACAACGTAAAATACCCAACATTTCGTAAAGCAACTCTTGAAAGAGGGTTAATAGAGTCTGATGATGGTTTATCTCAATGTCTTACAAAGGCATCTTTCTTTCAATTTCCTAATGCTCTTAGAAGGCTATTTGCAACAATATTGACTTTTTGTGAGCCAGGAGATGTTCGTAAGTTATGGGATGACCATTACAATTCTCTTTCAGAAGATTATAGGTGACAATACGGATGTGTTGAGAGAGTCCAGAATATGGTCCTCACTGACATCATGGTATTCATACAATCAATGGGGGAGAATATTGATGATTTTGATCTTCCACAGATAAATGAAAATGTCGATTTAGAATCTGGAGTTTTTCATGAGGTACAAGAAGAGTTTTCTATAGTGATAGAATCTGAACATTTACAAGCAATTGATTTTCTTAATCGTGAATAGAAATTTGCATATGATGAGATCATGTGGCATGTCCATAATGATATTCCTGGAGTGTTCTTCATAGACGGTCCTGGTGGAACAGGAAAAACATTTTTGTACAAAGCTCTACTTGCTAATATTCGTTCGTGTGGTCGTATTGCACTTGCAACCGCTTCATCGTGTGTTGCGGCTAATAACATGCGTGTAGGGAGAACAACTCACTCTTGCTTTAAAATTCCTCTCAATCTTGAAAATAACTCAGTCTTCATGATTTCAAGACAAAGTGGTATTGCTCAACTACTTCGGATTGAAAAGGTAATCGTATGTGACGAAGCGTCGATGGCTAAAAGACATGCATTGGAGGCGGTTGACCGTACAATGAAAGATATCACTGGGGTGATGATCCAATTTGGTGGAAATATAATGGTTTTGGGAGGTGATTTTAGACAAGTGTTGTCGGTCGTTAGACGTGGAACACGAGCACAAACCATGGATTCTAGCATACGAATGTCACCTCTTTGGTCTTCGATTATCAAGTTGCGATTAACTATAAATATGAGAGCACTAACCGATCCATGATTCTCAGATTATCTGTTACGTGTCGGTGATGGAGTTGAAGAAACAGTGCATGAAAACTTTATCCGTATCCCTGATGATATGGTAATTCCCTTCATTGAAAAAGAAAGTCATTGAATGCTTTGATTGATGCAATCTTTCCATCTTTGGAAATTAATAGATCTAAATCAGATTATATTATTTCCCGTGCAATATTATCCACAAGAAATGATAGCGTCGATGAGAGTAATGATCGTTTGATTGGCCGATTCATTGGAGAAGAGAGAATTTACTACAGTTTTGATGAAGCTATAGATGATATAAATAACTTCTATCATGTGGAATTCTTGAACACGCTCAGTGTTAGTGGTTTACCCCCTCATTACCTATGACTGAAAGTTGGATGTCCGATAATACTGTTACGAAATCTTGACCCATTAAATGGATTGTGTAACGACACCCGATTGATTTGTAAAAGTTTTCAGCACAATGTGATTGATACCGAAATAGCTGTTGGCCAACATGCTGGAAAGAGGCTATTTTTTCCAAGGATACCTCTATATCCATCTGATGAGGACATGTTCCCGTTCAATCTGAAGAGAAAAGAATTTCCAATTCGATTATGTTATGCGATGACAATCAATAAAGCTTAGGGACAAACAATTCAAAATGTAAGAATTTATCTTCCAGAATTGTTTTTCTCACATGGCCAACTTTATGTGGCATTATCCAAAGGGATTTCACGTGTCAATACAAAAGTATTAGTGATCCCTGATGAACAATTCAACGACGGTGAAGTCTATACATCAAATGTGGTGTATAAAGAAGTGTTTCACGATTAATAATTCACAATCAATTGCATGTCTTCATATACATTTGTAAGGAATCCCAGCTTTTAATTTTTAATTTTCATTGTTTTTGTTTCTGTTAGCATGATTCTTAATTATAATTTTTTAGATGTAGTAAACTATTTGCGCAAACGAACTAATTGCCTCTAGAGATGCGCAGACCGTTCAAATTTACAAGTTACCATATTCCAAAGCCAATTAGATTAATGTTAGGGGTTTACCTTTTCATTACCATCATGTCAAAGTTGGGTGCCCAATCATAAAACTTTCCAAATAAAAATAATTTCCGAATGAAACGATTCACACCCTACGCTTGGCGCGGGTATATATATATATATACATATATATATATATATATATATATATATATATATATATATATATATATATATATATATATGGGAAAAGTGAATATACCCTTAAGGGTATATAAGCTTAGGTACTCAAACTCACTATATTACGTCATTTTGTGTCATATATATATACATTGTAATTGTTCAATTTTCTTATAATTCAACTTCTTACTTGATTTACTTCGAAATTTTTTATAAATTTCACATTTATTGTCCTCTTACATATTTTTCACTTTTAACTATAATATATATAGGTTAGTAGTGTTTGACAAAAAGATGTGATGTAAGAGGAAGATAATGGTGAAATTTTGGAAATGTTGAAAGTAAATCAAGTTACGGGTTGAAGTTTAAGAACATTATAATGAATATATCAAACAAAATATTATATTATGATGGGTTTGGGTACCTAAGCTTATATAACCTTAAGGGTATATTCACTTTTCCCTATATATATATATATATATATATATATATATATATATATATATATATATATATATATATATAAGTTCAAATGCTTTGGACAACTATTGTGTGCATAAATGCACCAATAGAAATTCAGGAAAAAATTAATTCTTAAATAATCAAGATAAGGCTAGATATGTAATTTTGCATATAAAGTAAATAATAACCAAAATTAAATCCCTTGATTCATGGATCAAATCCCTTAAATTAGACCATCGACTCCCCCTTTTCTCTAAAAATCACCGTCTACACCCGCCGGTTCGCTACCAACTTCTCCTCTATCATCGTCTCTGTATACAAACATCTACATGTCTCACACGCACAAGCAAGAGCCTCTATGATGGAATCCCTCTCCTCCGTATCTGCCTCAATCGTCTTACATCCAGGAACCCCTTCCACCACCACAACCACCACCGTTGGAGAATCCATCTACGTTACTCCTCCTTTTAGACCTCATGCCTTCATCCCGATCACCGCCATCCTTCCCGATATCGCTCAACCTTCGTGACCCCTTCAAACCCTAAACTAAAACCGTATAGAAGCAGATTTGATGGTACGACGTGTAAATTGAACGTTGTAGGAAATCGAGGAGAAAGTAAAGGGGAAGATGAAGGTATCATTTATCTCTGATCACTATTTTTTCTATTATAAATCTGAATTTTTCCATTAAATGTTCTGATTAGTTTTTTTTATCTTTTTTTGTTTTTATCTTTTTCTGTATGAATCGGTCATATTTGCATGTTTTCATTGATTTGTCAAGTAATTGAAACTCACTCCTCCACAGATTCAAATTAGATTAAAAACTAGGATCTTCAAGGTGCCTTCTATGCATTTGACTAACTTGTTATTTTGATGTATTGATTCAGTGCTGGAAGCCAATCTAGTTGGTGGTCTTGCTTATTATGTTACTGCACCTTCTCAAGGTAATGACTGACACTATTCCATATTTCCATTACATTCACATTCCTTGATTTGTGATGATTTATTGTTATTCTGATGTATTGATTTGGAATCCAATTCTAGGTTGTTTGTGCCTTTTTATTTTTCATCAACGCAAATTAATTTACTCTTTGTGCCTTTTTTTGGCTTGTTTGATGATAATGTTTAACAAGTGTTTGTTGAAATGTCTGAAAGAGAATTTAAAGAATTTAACCTTGTTGTATGCATTCTGTCAGAATTACTAGGAACACATGTTTTATGTAATTATTTAAAAAGATAATTAATTTGTCTGTGTATTATTTTGGTTCAATTTGTGATTTTGAATTCCAATTTCTATTGTCCCTTGTTATTGTATATTTGAAATCTAAAATTATATTAGCAATAAATACAATACCTTTGAATGTATTCTATATATTCTATCAGAAAGTATTCTACCAGAATAAAATCGATGTATTCTGCCAGAATGTATTATATGTTGTAACGCTCGCGTTTCCAGGCTAGACATTATCATTGATGTAATAGTCTAGGTTAACTCTTGTAACTCTTTTTGGAGTATTAATGATGAAATATTTGAGTACTATGTGAATTATGTGTTTATTTTCTTAATTATTATAAATTAATAAATTAAGAATAAAATAAGCGTCAAAATTAAATTATGAGATAAGCCTGATATCTTTGCATAAAGATATAGTTGTCGAAACAAGGATTCCGAAGATATAAAGAATGCCGAAATCTGAGTTATAACGAAGAAGTTATGACCTGTCGAAGTTTCGCGACAGAACCGACAACACTGAATGACGTAAAAAGTGAAATTTACGTTAGAGCAATATTTAGCCTTAGTGATCTAAACGAAAGTCGTAGAGTTCGTTAAACCGAGAGTGTGTATAAAAAGAACGCAAAAATTTGAATTCGTATGAGGAAGTTATTATTTTTCAAAGTTTCGACTTAGCAGTATGCAGCCCGAATACTTGATTTGAGATCGAGCGATGTTTAGTCAAAACAATCTAAATGATAATCGAAGGTCTCGTTAATAGTAGTAGAACGATAAAAAGATAGGCGAAAACGGACATCGGATGAAGAAGTTATGAATTTATAACGGAGTTTTCCTGTCCCGGCCTACTAAAAATAAATAATAAAAATAAATCAATATTAGCCAACGGAGTCTAAACGAAAGTTGTAAAGCGCAGTCTCACCTAGCGTGGATATAAAGAACGTCGAAAACGGAGTTCGTATGAGGAAGATATGAATTTTTGAAGTTTATTAAATATTTTCGATATTTAATTTAAATATAAATTATCCGATATTATCCAAGGGGGGGAGTCAGCGAGCTGATCTGTGACATCCCCAAAATCACGGCCAGAAAAGACCGATTTTGTTTATGCTTTATAAAAATCAGAGTACTTCATTTTATAAAAAGGTTGCGGAATTTGTTCCCAGAAAAAACATGGTAAATACGTTATTAAAACATTTTCGAAGAAACGTATTTATTTCATTTTAAAATGTTTGGGATGTCATCGTTAATACCGAAACATAAGCATAAACAGAACTTACAATGATTTACACTAGTGATCTACATCTCTTTTAAATCTCTCAGTGTAATGTCACTTCACTTCGTCACCTATGATATACATAAACTGAGTGGGTCAGGTTGGGAAACCTGGTGAGTACATAGGGTTTTCAACCCACAATAATATAATTACTATGTTCAATCAAACAATCAACCCAATTATCCATCCCCATTATCTTCTTTACTCTTTAAGGATTTAACCTAAGAGTCATCTATCCTGCATTCGTTTATTCCGAAGTCCCTTACCTCTAGGGTTATAAGACTGACACTAAATCCATAGCTGCCAATGTTCGTTCATAAAGCACTATTTCCATAGCTGCTATAGTCTATTCATTGGGTACTAAATCCATAACTACCAGTGTTTATCTAATAGGCACTAAGTCCATAGCTACCAATTCCTTAACAGGTACTAAATCCATAGCTACCGGTGTTTGTCCAATAGGCACTAAGTCCATAGCTGCCGATGTTTATTAGTTAGGCACTAAGTCTATAGCTGCCAATGTTTACTCACATCATCTTTTATCTCTCATCATTCATCTACCCGTATCATACCCAACATATTCGTGTATATAAAATACGTATACAGTTTAAATCATCTAAAACATGTATAAAAACGTTCATCCAACATAGACAGCAAGTATACAGATAATATGCACACATAGCACGTAGTTTATATAAAATACTTCATATCTATGTGTAAGATGAAAGTAACTATGCACTCACCTGAGAAGGTGGTGACTCGGTACTCGGACAACGCTTTGTTTACTTTAAAATAATTTTCTTTGACGAAACCTTGTATTATCACCACTAGATTTTAGTCTAATATTACCGTGACTAATTATTATTATTATTATTATTATTATTATTATTATTATTATTATTATTATTATATAAGCGTTTAAACAATACTTTCCAACTACTATGTACAGACAGAGGCCAGACATAAAACACCAGAGGGCAGGACCATTTTGGCGTATAGCACTTCTGAAATCCAACAACCCTATGCGGCCCTTTAAACCAGATTCCCCGTACCGCGAGTAGTTAAAAGATATTATAACGACACTTATATAAGTCATAATAATAGCTCAAATATTTATTATAAATTTATAATAACAATACTAATTTTAAATATAAACTATATTTAAAATAGGGTAAGCATAACTTACTTTCAAGGGGATTTTAGCTAGGAGTCGGGCTCTGCAGGGGCAGAACTTTGTCGCTGAATCTTTCTAAGAAAGATTTGTGCAGCGCTTCAGCGCTCACCTTACTATACTAAAACTACAGAAAGAGAAGTCGAATCACGATGGACCAAAATGCTCAGGGGATAAGGAGAGAAAGACTCTTGAATCAAGAGAATGGTGCAAGAAATATGAGAGCCCAAGGCTCTTATTTATACTAATTGAATTTTCAAAAACTACCCTCCATAATTACTTAATGACCTTTTAGTTATATAAACAACTAAACACCCCTCTATAATACTATTTTAAATGGATTTAATGATATTTGTACTAAACTAATGTCGAAAGAACTCAACATTAGTCTTATAATGACCGCATCGTCGATACCTTTCTAATGATATATACATATGTATATATATGTGTACGTATACATGATTTATACTTTATTTTAATACGTAAATATGCTATTATAATTTGTAACTCGTTCATACGAACTCCGTTTTTGACGTTCTTTATATCCACGCATACAACTTTCGTTTAGACTCCGTCGGCTAATTTTGACTTTATTTTTAAAGTTATATTTTTAACAGGCCGGGACAGGATTGGTCCGTTAAAATCTCATAACTTCTTTATCCGATGTCCATTTTCGTCTGTCTTTTTATCGTTATGCTACTAATAACGAGATCTTCGATTCTTGTTTAGGTTGTGTCGGCTAAAAATCAATCGATCTAAAATTCGAATTTCGGGCTATACACCGCTAATCCGAAACTTCGAAAAATCATAACATCTTCATACGAAGTCAGATTTGGGCGTTCTTTTTATCGATGTTCTTAGTTTAACATATTCTACGACTTTCGTTTAGAGCGCTAAGGCTAAATCTCTCTCTATCATAAATTTACTATTTACGCTTCCCGGCGTCGTGCCGGTTCCGACGCGAAACTTCGACGGGTCATAACTTCTTCGTTATAACTCGGATTTCGGCGTTCTTTATATGTACGGAAACCTTGTGACATATTCTACAACTTGGTTAAGATTATTTATTCTAAATAATCTTTTTGTTGAAAAGTCGTTTTCGACCCCTATTGCCTTTAAATTGACTAGCCCGGATCTGCGGGCGTTACATGATCCTCATTACGCCCAACGTAATTTCAGATTATGCCTAGCGTAAATCGAAGTTCCAGCCCCTTTAAAAGGATGTCGAGGGCAACCGAGTTCTTTACTCATTTCTTTCCTTCTCTCGCGTTTTTGCATTGTTTTTCGTGCAAGAATTATCCTGAAGCCCCGGTATCGTTCCCGAGCCCCGAAGCAAGTCCCGAAGCCCCGAAGATCACGAGAAGTGCAATTCCCGAGTCGAAGCTCTGCCCGCGAGGAGTCCGGTTTTTGTGAAGATCTTCCAGATCTACCGAAGAATACTACTTCTACAAGCTGTAGTGCTGTCCGATCATCTTCTGATCAAGTGAGTGTGTGGTTACTTTCTTCTAACGCATAAATATGAAGTATTTTATACGAAATACGTGTTATGTGTATATTTTGTGTTATATGTGTCAATGTATATTCACTTTCTTCTATCTCATAGATACGATTTATTCTCTATGAAATACGTGTTATGTGTATGTGTCTCATCTGTTGTTTGGAATATGTATTGAATGAGAATGCTATACATGTTTTAAAGTATGTATAAAAGTATATATTTTTATCTACTAATATGTCAGGTAGAACATGGGTAGATAGTTGTGTGATAAACATATGAGAGGCGTCGATGTTGTTTTTGATTCAGTCATCTAGCGGAGTTTAGATGACGACCACAGAATTTTCTAGACAATCATGTGGAACGCTAGCAGGTTCACCACCTGTAGGTGTTAATGAATTTGGGTGTTCATTCTTTGTACTCCATCCCCCTCATGGTTTCCTTATTTGACATATATTGCCGGGAAACGCCCGAATGCATGTGTTGTCGCCCCGATAGAATATTCTAAGACTAGGTCCCTTGTGTTAGTTGTTTTAGGGACGCAAAGTGACAATAACGGGAATGAGTATTGTTGGATGGTGGAATTAAATATAATTATTTATTGTAGGTTGAAAACCCTATATGCTCACCAGGCTCCCAAGCCTGACCCACTCAGTTTATTTGTATTACAGGAAGTGGCGCAAGGGCATAAGATGGATGAATCATCAAGTTGTTTTGTTTACAAGTCTGTATATGTATATATTTGTTGAATGACTTGTAATGTTATCGTTTATGCTTTATGGTCTGTATCAGAACATGACATCCTGAGTTTTGATTATATAATGAAAATAAATTTCTTTATCAAATGCTTTGGCAAATATTATTTTATCACGTTTTGTTTTTGGGAACAAATTCCGCAACTC